TTGAGGTATGGCTCTCCTCCGCGAGGCGGCCAGACTCCAGTGGCTGGGACAAGAGACCTACAGGCAGCATAAGATGCAAGAGGCACCACGGAGATGGCTCAGTGCTAATGCTTGGGCTAGTTCTTGAAGAAAAAATAGGCTTGCGTTGGCCCAAAGGACAAGTATGCACAGAGGGAGGGGAAATGGAATGTCTTCTCAGTTGAAGGGTGAGGAGGTTTGCAGTACGGAATGGGTTGGTGTGTTTGGGAGATGAGGACTGGGACAATATAGAAGATGGAGCTGGGGAGTGGGGGGGAGGGTGGCACTAAGCTAGAGAGGTATGGCTGCCGCTAGAACAGGGAGTCACTTGACACCCTTTATTTTTTATCCTGATCATAGGAAGCCATTGGAGGCTCTAAAGAGCTGGGTGGAAAGCCAATGTGAGGGTGAAAAAGCCACAGGAGTGAGATGACACGTCTTGAAGGGAAAGCCATATGCCTGGATGAGATAAGATCCCACAGGAATTCTCAATTGTTCTCTCTAGAAGTAACTGATCAAAATCCAATTGTTCTAGAGTTACCACAGGACCCAGCAATTCTAGTCTTAGGTATATACCCAAGAGAATTGAAAACACATGTCCACAAATGTGTACACGAATGTTCATAACATTATGATGCATAATGGCCGAAAAGCGAGAACAACACAAATGTTCCAGCTGATGAATAGATACAATATGGCATATCTACACAATGGGATGATGGGATAGTATCCATCCATGAAAGGAAATGAAGTACTGGAACAGTACATGGATGAACCTTGAAAGCTAGCTGAGTGAAAGAGTGAAAGAGCCAGTTACAAAAGGCCATGTGCCCTATGATACCATGTTTATGAAATGTCCAGAAAGGGTGAATCCATAGAGACAGAAAGCCAATCAGTGGTTGCCAGGGACTGGGGTATGGAGAGAGGCCGTTAATGGGAACCAGGTTTCTCTTTGCAGTGATAAAAAATGTTCTAAAATTAATCATGGAATCGCTATGTCTTACACCTGAAACTCCTATAACATTGTATGCTAACTACACTTCAATAAAATTTTTTTAAATGTTCTAAAGTTAGATCGTGGTGATGGTTGCAGAACTCTGTAAATACATTAAAAACCACCAAACTATATACTTTACAATAGTGAATTTTATGGTAAATGAATTATATCTCAATAAAACTGTTTATAAAAAAAACCTCATTGTTCGATTTTCTTGTGCTGAGGACTAAACAAATTAAAATTTCTGTTTGGTGCTGGGACTTACCTTGCGAGCGGCTTGTTGAAAGCGCTTTTGTGCCCTGAACCTGTTGACCCAGGTATTATTAATGAGTGGATCAAAATTAGGATGGAATTCCTTGATTTTCTGTGAAAATAGAACATAGGCACATCTTAGATTTAAATTTTAACTCCAGGTAGGAGCATTTAATAAAAATGTTTTTGAGTTTGATCCTAAATCAAGTGATGATTTGTTCTGCCATGGAACGAGCGTTTATTCCACACTTTTAGAGTACATAGCAGTATAGGGAATACTTCTTGGGTTGGGGGCTAAAAGTGGGATTTGAGATTTGGGTTTTAAGAAATTGACAGTGTAGGGGCGCCTGGGTGGCTCAGTCGGTTAAGTGTCTGCCTTCAGCTCAGGTCATGATCCCAGGGTCCTGGGATCGAGCCCCACATTGGGCTCCCCGCTCAGCGAGGAATCTGCTTCTCCCTCTGCCCCTCTCCCCATTCTTGTGCTCTCTCTCACTCTCTCAAATTTTCTCATTGTCATGATTAAAAATTGGGGTTTTAGACACTATCACATGACAGAGGACGCTCAGCTGAGGGGGCCACTGTCCCCATTTTATGTTTGAGGAGACTGAGGCACAGAGGCTAAGAGGGCTTTTCCCAGGTCCCAAATCTGTGAGAGAGCTGGGACCAGGACTCTGGCTTCTGGCCTCCTGTCATGTATCCTTCCCACCAAGGGCAGGGGGCAAGGAACAGAGGCCCAGGACCCTCTGCAGACAGAGGCTTAGAGAGCAAAGGGAAACAAAAAAAGGAGACTAGGAAGGAGAAAGTAGAGGGGCTTCTAGGAGCCAAAGAATTTAATGCTGTTGATTTCAAGGGAAACATTAATTATGATTTTTGATGTTTCACTTGCAAATATATAGTAAAAAAACACTCCAAAAATATAAATTAAAACGTAAATGTAAATTAAAACTTAGTAAATATCTCTTGGTAAAAGCATTTCTATAAAATTGTTTAGTGTTTTAAAAATAAAAATATAAAGGGCTGCTGATAATTAGCTCCCAAATAAAGGAAAGTTACCTACTTCTTCTAGATTGTGAACAACCCGTTTCTGGTTGACTTCTGTCTTGATGCGCTGAAATTCCTCATCCAAAACAGGATCTCCTCTATCTAGCTGGGTTTTTTAATCACCAAAAATATTAAAATTGAATACAAATAGACACAACTGTATATCTCTTTAAAACTGACAGAAACCCATCAAAGGATCAGTGACACCGAGACGTGAGGTTTGGTTGAGAGTGGGTGACAGAGGGTTAAAGTGACCATTATAATTACACTCACTGTTCAAACATAGGGGGTTGTAACATCTGAGCAGACCCAGAACTTTATTTTCATCACCAGGGGACATGGCTCTGGGAAATCATTTTCAAAGCATTTAAAACTCACAGGAAGGATTTTAAGAAACTGTGTAACCATGGGAGTGCAGAGATTTCGTTTAGAAAGAAACTTAAAGTTTCAAGCTCCTTGGAGCTGGTTATCCCAGTATGGGGTTTAACAAAGGTGCATAATTCTTCCCCTCTCCTGGGTGGTGCAGGTGAATTGGGATCTGCCCCTTCCCTGGAGTAAGTGTCCTCCTCCAGGCTGCTCCCCATCCCCGGGGTCCTGAAGCTGTCTGTCCTATTCCCCAGGAGCCATGGGACACTCCCCCCGGAAGGCTGGCTGGCTGGGCTTGATTGGTGTCTGCATACACCTGACTCCATGGAAAAAGGAGCTGTGTCCACTGCAAAAGCTTGTTAGTTTTTACCTATCTGTGGTTTTTATTACTTGTTAAATTACTTCCAAATCTAGCTTGGCTTGTATGTACGCTGTTTGCAATCATTTTTAAAGACTTAACTGGAAGCAATCTATTCGGATCACCACATTAACAAGAGACACAAGAGAGTTGTATGATTGTCACCAGGTGGTGAGCTGTCTAGCTCTGATTTGCACATATCAGGGAGCTGAGTCTGAGACTGTGGACCTTAACTCAAAAGACAGATTTTGTGGGGAGAGACCCAGACCTCCACCACTAAAAATAAAATAAAATGAAATAAAGCACCTTAAAGAAGGGATTGGCAAATAGCTTGTTAGCTGGAAGAGAGAGGAGGGCGAGGTCTTATATATTTATCAATACTCTATTTATGATGAATGTTTGGGAATTTACTATCAACGACCATCTCCCATCATCCTGCTATAACTCCCACTCCCTCTTCCGCTCCCCCCTCCCCAGCTCTTTTTTCTCAGCTTTCTGCCACATGGCCTGGGCCTCCGGGTGTTCCTTGCCACTGGGTCACCTGCCAGGATTCAGCTGCCTGATGAGATCTCGCAGACACACAGAATAGGGTCTCTGCAACACTTGCGGTCCACCTGTACTGGGGCTCAGGGGCCCAGTGAGTGATGTTAAGGACGTGACCACTCCTTTTCTGCTGCCCTTGGGTACCCTTGTGACTGCTCGCTCCTCTCTGCAGTCCTCTCTCTAGTCCCTGCTCATGGCTCTCACTGCAGCTGGCCTGGCCTCCAGGGGCACCTGGAAGGACAAGGCCACCTGCAGCCTTCAACGGCCCCCTCTCTGCACGTGAGCCTGACGACACCATGGTCCTTCCTCCTGTTCAAGGTCAGTCTTCTCTTCTGACCATGGTGTCTTCCCAAACTTCTTCAGCCCTTTCCTCTGCGACTGCCCTTTGCCTTTAGAATACAAGTGCTCTCGAGTTTTCCAACTTAGAAACCCCCTCCTTGAGGGGCGCCTGGGTGGCTCAGTTGGTTAAGCGGCTGCCTTCGGCTCAGGTCATGATCCTGGGGTCCTGGGATCGAGCCCCACGTCTGGCTCCCTGCTCAGCAGAGAGCCTGCCTCTCCCTCTCCCTCTGCCTGCCACTCTGCCTATTTGTGCTCTCTCTTTCTCTGTCAAATAAATAAATAAAATCTTAAAAAAAAAAAAAAAAAGAAACCCCCTCCTTGACACCTCATCCCCTTCTAATGGTCCATGCTCTGACTCTTACCCCCTGGTCATCTCAACTTCTCAAGAAACCAGTTACTCACTTCCCTGCATTCCTCGAGCCATTGGCCACTTGGCTTTTTACCTCCACCTCTCTCCTGGGGTTGCTATCCCTAAGGCAAACAAGGGCTTCCAAGTGGCCAAACACACCCTGTACTTCTCAGGCCCAGCCAACCTGGATCCCTCCCCATCTGCTTTTTTAGTGTAGTCCAGTTCTCCTGACCTCCCTGACCATTTCCCTTCTGTCTCCTTCGCTATCTGCTGCTCTCCCCTCAAATCATGAGGTTCTCTGGCTTTCCCACCTTGAGCTACCGGCTTCTCGCGCCTTTCACTTTCCCCAGGTCACGGCGCTGTTCTGTGCTCTACTCTCTACCTCTCTGCTGAGGTACACTTGTTCCTGCAGCCGCCACCTGGATGCCCTCCAGCACCCCCCCCAGATGTAACATGTCCCAGGTTGAACTTTTCATCTTCCCCTTTCTTTGGTATTTGGGATCTCATTTAAAATCACCAGCACAGGGGCGCCCGGGTGGGTCAGTCATTAAGCATCTGCCTTTGGCTCAGGTCATGATCCTGGGGTCCTGGGATCGAGCCCCACATTGGGCTCCCTGCTCAGCGGGGAGTCTGCTTCTCCCTCTGCCTGCTGTTCCCCCTGCTTGTGCTCTTTCTCTCTGTCAGATAAATAAACAAACTCTTAAAAAAAAATAAATAAAATTGCCAGCGCACACCCCAGCTGGACCCCTAGGAGCCATTTTAACCTCCCTCTTTCTTTCCCCTCAGTCACTGCACTTGGCACATTTTAAATCCTCTCTTAATGTTTCTGTGCCCCGTCTGGACTGTGCCCTTCTTGAGGGCAGGGACGGTGGCTCATTCACTAGCACAGAGTCTTACAAAGAGCACTCGTTAAACACACTTGAGAAACAAATACACAGTTGGGTTTGCCTGGCGTCCAAATGCTGACAATTCCAGACTTTGCTGTCACACTGACCTACCTGGTCATGCCATGTCTGTGTCACCTTCATCTTTAGAATAGTTAGAAAATATCATCCCATTGGGGGGTGGACAGAAAACTCAATATTTTGTTTTTAAAATCCAATGCAGAGAAACAGAACTACAATCAAACTAAATTTCAATGCCCATCTAATATGTGCCTTCCCTAAGTGCCAAGGTTTACTAATTCTTTTGTCTCTCTTATAACAAATAAAGAAAGGCAAGATAAATTTATTCAAATATCTGATTGGGCTCCAATCAGAAAGAAGATCTAGGAAGAAAAATGTATTCTATATGAGAAATATATTTATATCTGACAAGATACATGTTTTTCCCCAATCCTTCCTACCCAATGCTGCCACTGAGCATGGGAAGCTCATGCTCCTAAGCTTAAATATATGTGTTATGGTTGAACCATGTCCCTCCAAAATTCATATGTTGAAATCTTAACCCCTAGTTAGCTCAGAATGCGACTGTGTTTGAAGATACAGTTTTTGAAGGTGTAATCAAATTAAAATGAGGTGGGCTCTAGTCCAATGAGACTGGTGTCTTTTATAAGAGGAAGTTTGGACAGAGAAAAAAGAAGGTAAAGACACAGGGAAAAGATGGTCTAAAAGTCAAGAAGAGAGATCATTCCCTCATGTCCCTTAGAAGATCATGCACCTTGATCTTGGGCTGCCAGAACGGTGAGAAAATACATTTCTGTTGCTTACACCACCCAGTCTGGTACTTTTATAGCAGCCCAAGCAGACTAATATGACACGAGATGATTCTGCAAGTCCTACCAGCCAAGTCCGAGCCCCTGAGACAGGAAGCCCAAGCCGAGCTCCTCTGGCTGACGTGTGTCCTGCGCTTCAGTGACTATGGGCCTGTCCCCAGTGTCCCCTGCACCTGCCCTCAGGGAACAAGGTCTCACATGCCATGGTGAGCCCAGGGGTGTGGCAGTCCCACCACTCCCGTCTCTACCCCTCCCTGAATCCACAGGTGCTGCCTTGGCAACCCAGCTGTGGCCACCTCCCCTCAACCAGTTTGTCCCCCTCTCTGCTCAAACCCTTGAGTGTCTCTGACTTGGAACTTTTCTCTGGCTCTGGCATCGCTCCTGGTCTCTGTCTTTGGGTTCCTCTTACTCTCATGCTCCGCAGATCATGGGACAGGCGTACCTCACGCCCAGAACTCCAGCCTGAATTTGAGGCATTCCCCTCCCTCTGAATTGAATGCCTTTGTCCTCTTTACTACCTTTCCCAAAATCATACCATGTCTTCCAAGAAGCTTTCCAATCAGATGAGCTCTCTCTCCTCTCTGGCCTTTGACTCCCCACAATATTTAGTAGAGGTTTCTTGTGACATCTACAGCTAGCCTTGATTTACGGTTAGCAATTAACTTGTCATCAGCCTCCTCCCCTCCCAACATAACTTTGTGTTCTTTCTTCTGATGTGGCATCTTGCATATAGCAGGAATTCAAACTATTTAGTGCAATCAACATCATCGAATTAGCATTGATTCTGACCTTATATTTGGTGTCTTCTCTTTGCCGCTCTTCAATAAGGTCTTTTCTAAATTTAAAAGACATATGATCTCTACCAAGGTGCACCTGCCTGGGGAGAAAAAAAAACAGCTTCCAGAACGCATCGGAATACCATGGCCCGTTGGGGGATGGAATGGCTTAGATTCTCCACAACTGAAGGGAGGTGCAGAGATACTGGAGGAGGGCCACAGGGGAGAGAAGTTGTAGAGACTACAGCAACATAACTGAGATGAAGACTGTGTTCTACAAAATGAAGCATCTCTCCTAGCCACGCAGGCTGAATATTTATGAGTAAAAGAAAATCTGGATGCTCAACATCAGTAGTCATTAGGGAAATGCGAATCAAAACCACAATGACTGATGTACTACATTACACCCACTAGGATGATGATGATGATGATGATGATGATGATAAGAAGGAAGGAAAATAACAGGCATTGCCAAGGATGTGGACCAACTGGAACCCTTGTACATTGCTGATGGGAGCATAAAATGGTGCAGCCGCTGTGGAAAACAGTCTGGCCGTTTCTCAAAAAGTTAAACATAGAGTTACCATATGACCCAGCAATTCCCCTCCTAGGTATGTACCCAAGAGAACTAAAAAGATGTGTGCACACAGAAGCTCGCATATAAATGTTCACAGCAGCCTTCTTCACAATGGCCAAAAAGTGAAAACCACCCAAATGTCTGTCAACTGATAAATGGGTAAACAAAATGTAGTAGGTCTGTACAATGGAATCTTATGCAGCCATAAAAAGGAATGAAGTCTTGATAGATGCTATGATGCAGATGAACCTTCAACCCGTGTTAAATGAAAGAAGCCAGTTACAAAAGGCCACATACGTATGTATGATTCCATTTATTTTAAATGTTCTATAGAGATATAAAGCAAATAGAGCAAATCTATAGAGATATAAAGTAGATTGGTGGTCGCCAAGGGCTGGGAAGGGACAGGGAATGGGGAGTGACTGCCAAATGGGTATGGGGTTTCCTTCTGGAGTGATGCAAATGTTTTGGAGTCGCGTGGTGGTGACCGTTGCACCACCCTGTGAATACACTAAAAACTTCTGCATTGTCCACTTTAAAATGGTTAACATGGTGACTTTTGTGCTTTGTGAGCTTTAGCACAGTTTTGAAAACTCTGGTATGTAATATATCGATCACGGAGCCTGGCACGTGTTCAAAATAAATAGTAGCTATGATTTTAAAAGGGGAGAGGGTGTCTGGAGAACTGTTTGACTGAAGGAGCCTGGAGAGACCTGGAAGCTAAATATAAATGGTCTGACCTTTGTTTGGATGCTGGATTCTTCTTCTCTGAAAACAAAAAACAAAAAGCCCGGATAGAAAGGACATTATTGAGACAACCTGGTAAATCTGCAGATAGGCTAGTGAGTCTAATAGTATGGTGTCAGCGCTAGATTTCTTGGAAGTGATGATGCTAATGTTGGAGAATGTCCTTAGGAGCTGCGTGCTAAGGTCTCTAAGAGCGAAGCTTCGTGATGCCTGCAACTTACTTTCAAATGCTTCAAAAGCAGGTGTGTGTGAAGTGTGCCTTTGTGTGTATGTTTGTGTGTGTGTGTGTGTGTGTGTAGGCAGGGGAAATCTACGTGGCATAATGTCAACAACTAGTGAATCGATGTCAAGTGTATATGGGTGTTGCTGGCAGGTTTAAAAATCTTTTGACAAAAAAAGGCGGGAGAAAATATTCAGTGAACGACAGAATCTTCAAAACTGAATTGAGGTTGTGATTTCAGGCGTGCTACAAAGCACAGAAGTAAGGAAATACCCCAGTGTTGGCAGTGGTCATTGCATTATAGCGGATTTTTTTCCCTTTTCTCCACTTAAACAATATATATTTTTTTCGGGTTTTCTACAATGACAGTGTGGCCATTTTTTACAATAGGGAAAAGAGTATTTTTTAAAAATGATCTGCAGTGACTTGGAGTACTTCCCATCTAACCAGGGCCAGACCAGGAACAGAGGCTGCTGTGGAAAGAGAGGTTGCTTCTGTGAGACATGAAGGACACCGCCCTGGGCAAGCAGGGTGGCGGGCTGGGGGACATCTGTGAAGGCCCGGGAGGTCAGCGCATGTTCTCTCTGTCCGGGAAGTGTGGCGTGGGGCACGGGCAAGGGGCCTCTCCAAGACTCTTTCTAAGAGTCTCTTTTTTAGCTCGGTTCAAGAGTTTCTAAAGTTTACTTTAGTGGAGTCTGTGCACACGGATACTTCTGGTATGATCCGGTAAAAACCTGGGGACAGGGCTGCCTTTTGACTGCAGGAGCACAAGACAGAGGTCTCACAGCTGAGTTCTGGAACCTCCACCCGGAGCCTCTCGCACCCCAGCTTGCACTGCTGGGCTCCCCAGAGGCGCCTGGGGCAGACAGCCGGGGGCACAGGGGCTGAGGTGGGGGGGGCGGGGGGAGGGTGTTGAGATTCAGGGCCCCTCGGGAGAGACGGGGTGCTGACAGCAGTGGCCAGCAGGGAGCAGTGTCCTGACGTCTCCCACAGTTCACTCCAGTTCTGACACTGTCTGGTCACACTTAGGAAAGAGCATGGTTTGGTCACAGTGATTTATGCCGAATGGAAACTTCTAAGGTCCAGGGGAGAAGAGGGATTAATCAAACTTTCCAAAGGGCACAAAAAGCGATTATATTTCATTGTGTCTCATTGTATAAAAAGCCATTACTACAAACACTGTACTGTCCCTTGATATAAATAATTGTTCAATATTTACCACTTAAGGTGATTTTCGATCTCTTCGTCAGTGTCCTGTCTGACTTTCTGTTCAAAGAGTGCTT